CAGGGGAGAATGAGAATGATGCTTAGACAGATATCTCTTATTCCCATTATATCACATATTGTTAGAAGGAACATTGTGTCAGCAGAACATCAGATAAAGGTTCGTCATGTGAGATGTGTGTGGCGATACTTCACGTGTTGTACTGACAGGCTCAGCGGCAACTCCCATGGGTGGGGTTCTGTAGTCCCGTAGCAGGACGATGACACTCGCCGGGGGAAACACGACATTTACCTCAATTTTCTGATGGTGCGAAACGCCGGCACAAGCTTCTTCAGACCTTCACTCTTTATGTTACACGAGTTCAGATTGACGTCTCCTGTCTCTGCGCAGGACTGAAGGATAGAAGACAACACAAAGCAGTCCAGAGGGGTGAGGGGGACATTGGAGAGGTGGACCTCTTTGTTGGCTCCAATACTTTGTGACATCAGAGCCTTGTTGCGGCTCTCGTGGAGACAATGGAAGACGTGGAGAAGCTCTCCTTTCCCTTTGTTGGATTTGTTGGGTTTTTGTTGTTTCGTCATTTTCTTCTGCAGCCAGGCGACGACGTCTCTGGAAGCCTTTACGGCAACGCTTCCCATGTGGGACTTCAACGCGGACCGGGTGGAATTGTCTGAGAGGCCGCAGAGGAAACGGAGGAAGATTTCCGCGCGGCCGTCTTCGTACGATTCGGCCGCGTCGAGTGTTTTCTGTAATCTTTCCGGATTATAATCAACGAAATGAACCAAAGCGGCAAAAAACTCCTGAAGAGTGAGGTGCAGGAAGGTGTAGTCCGGGGGCTGGCCGGACTCCATCAGGAAACATGAGAAGAGATGAGAGTCGTTCCTCACGTGGAATGATTCCAGATAACGCTCGTCAAATACAATCACATGATTCAGGACTCCGTGTTCCGCCATCCAACCGACACGTGTCAGCAGCTGCCGAGCGTCCTCATTGCCCTGGCTGTGATTGGCCAAAAGGTTGGAGACAAAGGCCACAAAGAGTTGTGTGACGGTTTTGGGCAATGGGGCCGCCAGCTGATGGTTGTTTGCTGGTTGGGTTCTGAAGCACATGGATAAGACGGTACAGATGATCCAGCAGTATGACGGGATGTAGCAGAAGGTGTACAGCGAGTCGTTCTCCTGCACGTAATGAAAAGCCTTCTCTGACAACTTCTCATCGTCTCCAAAGAAACTTGTAAAGTACTTCAGTCTGTCCGCGTGCAGGAAGCCCATGATCTCAGCCATTCCCTGGAAAACATCCGTATCAATGGACGCCAGTCTGGTGGGTCGGCTGGTGATCAGTATGGAGCAACCCTTCAGAAGACTTTGCCTCACCAGACTGACCACAATCCCCCCCAAATCTCTTCTCTCTTTTGGATCCAGCCGTTTACTTGATCTGAAATCCATCCCGTGAATACTTTCGTCTAAGCCGTCAAAGATAAACAGAAGTCCCTGCGGACGTTGTAGAATATCTCCAATCTGACTGGTCAGGTACGGATAATGTTGAAGAATCATCTCCTCCAAGCTGACCTCTCCCAGTCTATTGAGGTCGCGGAATCTGAAGAAGAAGACAAAAGCGAATCTCTGGTAGAGTTTTCCGGTCACCCAATCGTTGACAAACTTCTGCACCAGCGTGGTCTTCCCGATTCCCGGCACTCCGCTCACCATGACCGCGCACGGGACGCATTGTGACCGCTGGCTCCAGCGGAACAGCCTGTTGAGGGAAATGTGCTCCAGCCCAGTTTGTGTTTCCTTCAAGAATTCCTCATGTTTCACCCCGGTCTGTATGAGCTCGTTCTGGGGGCGCTGCCGGAACCGATGGGTGGAGACCACAATCAGGTTCACGTAACGCTCGCTGATGATGAATCTTTGTGGTTCCAGGGTAGTTCCTGGCGGTTTGTGTTCCACCAGGTTCTCAGTCTTCTCCATCAGATGCTTTTTGTGTTTCTCCTGAATTTCTGGAAGGGAAAGAAAATATATTTCAGGTTGAAGTAGAATTTGGGAACCTCAAGTTCTTCTATATTCTTCAACATGTCACCGCAGACTCAAGTGTCAGCACATTGCATCTCCTATTCAGAGGATTGCGACACGTTCTGGTCAGAGAGGACAGCTAGATGGCAAGAATCGGGATAGAGGCCATCTACCTCAAACAGCCCCTATCATCCTTCACCGGGCGCGGAGGCCATTTGTCTTCCACATATAATGCCAGTTTAACATTTCTCCCCCGACAACGTGACAACAATTGGCACCCTCAGCCATGTCAATGAAAGTATTGACACCTACGCAGACTCCCTGACCTCGAGGGATGGGATTATGTAACTAGAACAAGGGGCGTGTCCTATCCTGTTCATGTACAATCCACATCTGCCTTGACACATTCCGTGGTGATTGGATGAAGGTGCTTCCTGTGTGACTAGAAATGCTGAGAAGCTACAAAACACCTTCCCCATTACAGAACCAGACCGGCTGAATGTGACCAACGATTACCGGCTGCTCTCTGTGTCCAGGAGGCTCCTTCAGACAATTGTCCAATCCCAACATTCTCATGGAGCCTTTGTCTTGCTTCATTTACTTACCCTAAATAAATATCACCAAAGTGGGGGCTCCATCTAAGTATTGCTGTGGCCCCCTGTGCTTTATAGTGACACACCTTCCTAATAATCTGCCGAGAAGCTTTATTTCATAGTTCAGCATTCGGATGAGAGGCAATGTACCGGGGCGGCCATGCCGAGTGTTCTCCATTCCGGAATTAGTGGCACCGAATAACAACCACAAACCCCTCCAACGTAGAAAATCAGCCCCATCATCACCTATGACCTTGTGGTGATGTCACACTCTCACCTGGAATATATTTCTCCACATTAAGATCTAATTGCCGTATGACATAAAAGGTGCAAAGTAAAGAAGTCCATCCCCCCCCCCTCCTCCCCCCCAATGAAGGTCCTCACCCCCCGAATCACACACACAGGCCAATAAGGGGAACCCATAAACCTAAATGTTACTAATATTGTTACCAGGGCAGCCATCAGACGTTGTGGGGCCCC